CCACCCCCACCCCAACCAATCAGGTGGCTTCTGATTAAAAATACAAAACCACTCGAGAGTAGTAGATTCGTAGCATTTGAGTCTCTAGATGAAAATCACTAATTTAGCCTGAATAAGGTGACTTCTTTTTCTAATTGACTATTGGTTGTTCATTTTCTTCATTTCTGTCCTTTAAGAAGATTGGAAATAATTATAGAGGGGGTGTTGTGACTTACCTTAAGGGTAGCGCGGTGTACAAAGCATCCCCGCATTCACGCAGAATTCGGAGAAGGACCGCGAACTCATGATCTATAGGTCACATGGAGACAACTTTACTGCTATTCCAAGGTTCCCCTTGGTGTTCCGACTTTCCATATTTGCTACTCCAAGGCTCCCTTATATTTGGTGTTCCGACTTACCAAATATGGAAAATTACTCATTCCTCTTTCCTTTTTACTTTTTCTCCTCCTGTTTTCCTCCTTTCACCCCAACCAAACATTTTTGAGCTAAAAAGAAAAAAGAAATGAGAAATACCGAGCTGAAAAGATAGGAAATGAACTTCTTTTGTCAAATTGTAGTGTATGATAAATGATGCCCCGCTAAGAAAATAATCTAAATCCAAATTTATGTACAGATATATGATAAAATAATCATACAACATTGGTCATGTACCCCTTCCAAAGCTCAGAAAGCAAATGAAATTTACTGCAACTATCAGCACAACTCGAACATCTAGCACATGAACTGTCATGTCCTAAGTTTTGAAATCATTTCCTCCAAGAATGCTACAGACATCCCTGCTCTCTCTCCAACTCCTTGCTCAATTTGTCTCATAACATGTTCCAATAGCAGAATATTCTTTGGCTGTTTATTCTTCGGGCTGCAATGCGAACGGTCTCTCAAAAGCAAAAGCAGTCTTTTAGCATTGTCTCTGGCTCTCTTTGTCCCATCCACACTCAACTGAAGCAGTGCTGCCGTAGCTCCTTCCCTCAATATCATCCCTCTGTATCTCTCTCTGCAGCTCTCACATATTAGGAGTAAAATTGCCACTGCATCTTCTTTACATTGTCTTGAACCTGTTGAGACGTAATGCAATTAAGTAATTAAAAGTGTACTCTCTTTAACAACTTAAGTTTTTAGACGATATAGTCATATATAATTCAACATGATATAGTCACACGACTCAACATGGTACCAAAGCATGCAAAGGGTCCTAGATTCAAATGTGTTTGACCCATGAAAAAGAATCAGGCCAACGCGTGCTGATACATAATACAATTAACGGAGTAATTAATAGTGTGAAACTTTTATATGAGATTGTCATGAAATTAACCTTCCTCCATGGCCTCCACCAAACACTGAATTGCTCCATCTGTTCCTGCAGCTTCCTCTAGTCCAATTCTTGATGAAGAAACAATATTCTCTAGCAATACCATGGCTTTCTCCACAATCACTTCTCCTGCTGTTTTCGTTTCCGACGCCAGGCTAATTAATCCAAGCAGGGTAGCTACCCCACCAGATGAAACAATAGAAGGGATGAGCTGATGGCAAGTTGAAAGATTGTGAAGTATTGACAAGATGTCCAAATTAGCCTGCAAGCTCATGCTGTTGTAGGCTTGTGAATTTAATAATTCAAGTACAAGTGGAATAGTTCCAGATGAAGCAATTGCCAACTTGTTTGAAGCACAAGAAGAGAGGGTCAATAGAAATGCCACTGCTAGCTCTACTAACAATTCATTTTCGCATTGAAGCACATCTAACAACACTTGTATGGCCCCTGATTTTGCTATGACTATCTTGTTCCTGCAACAAGCAATAAGAATATTCACAATTTTAGTACTAAAATCAAACAGGTATAGATACACTCGTGTTCCTTAAAAATTGATCGAAAACAAATTTTTTTTGGCTATGTTTGATACAACAAAAGTCATTTTCCATAAGAAATGTTTTCATGCATTTTTCTCGAAAATGACTTCCAACGTACCAAACACGTTCCTGAATGAAGTATGCGCATGCTAACCTTTCACTGCGAAAGGCTATACTAAGCAGAGCAAACAGCGCAGCTTCAATGGCTTCATAATCATCAGTACTCAGCATCAAAATCAATGGAGGAACTATGCCTTTTTCGACGATCTTGTGCCTTTGCTTGCCGGAAAAGTGACCAATTTGTCTTGCACCAAAGAGCTGTGCTTGTCTATCACCAAAGAGTAGAGCTTCCACCACCATTTCTTCCATGGCTTGGAAACTCCCTCTGCCTTTAGTCACACTTGTTTGTTTATGAATATTTTTGTTTCTTTATGTATATAAGGATATATGGGTTGCTTCAAGAGTATGTAATGTGTGTGCCTTTTCAAGATTCTCCTTTTAATCTATAGTTCTTGATTAGAAGCAACTGATCCATTCCCTTTTCAGCTCTTTCTTTATTTAACTAAGGTGGAAATACCTTGGCTTGAATCTTTAACTTTCCTCTGATGCAAGGAACTGTCGTCAGCTTTATCGGCTAGCTAACTTAATATCAAGAGATACCCGGCAATATACCAAAAATGTGTAAAATGTAGGGGTATCTTTGATGTGTGATGACTTCAAGATTTATCCTATTCAAGAACGAGCTTGAAGCACAAAATCACCATTTACTGATAAGAGCAGAGGCGGATCTAGGGTTTCTAGTACATGGATGCACAGAAAAAATGTATTTAGTAGGAATTGATCCTATACCTCTTAGTAATTAACTCAGCCTTCAACCCATTTAATTTTCTTTGAGCATGAGTGTCAATAGTTAATACTATTTCAATTTTAGAAAATATGTACATAAATATCTAATTTTACGAAGAGACCATGAGTTCACGTGCCCCGTAATTACACCTATAAATCCGTTCCTGGATAAGAGTGTATATGAAGATATGCGTCATGTATTTATTGGATTGATATAAATACCGAATACGAATAAATTTTTATGGTGAGTCAAGCCAAACTACCTCGGACTAGGGCACATAATTTTAGGGAAAAGGCAGTAATCTTGATTTGGTTTGCCTAGTACATGGAACGTGACATAGTCAGCGACCGAAAAATCAAAGGAAAGCAGCCGTTGTACATTCTGTTTTTGAGGAAATAGCTGCGCTTTTCCTTTTGCCTCTATACGGCATCCGCCGTATCTTTACCGAAATCAATGCTTGCCACTGATCTTCAAGCTTTCCCTTATTCTCTTTGCTTTGTAGTAGCTTTTTGACTAATACACATATAACAAAGGATTAAAATTCATTAACTATTCATTTTCACTTAATATAAAAGCAGTTCAAGGATGCAATACAAGTAATCATCACTTATCAACAATAATATATATGACTCCAATGTTGTACTAATTAGCCTAAAGAAAAATAAATATCAAACTTGAAAATGAAGTGTTGCGGAATATGGTAGGTTAACTAGCACACAATCACACACAAAACAAATAAAGAAGAAAAATCAACACAAGGATTTAACGAGGTTCGGCTAAGCCTAATCCTCAAGGCAAAAGAAGAGAGAGTTTTCCCCTATGAATGAGAAGAAAAGCACAATACAATCTATAACATCCCCAACTACAACCCCTATATATAGATCCAAAAGGTCACAAACATATATGAGAAAGGTTTCCCAATTTGACAAGAACTATAGGTTTTCCTTTCCCAAATCTATTAGGACAATGGGTTTTCCTAAACCTATAAGGACTATGGGTTTCCTCAAAATACAAGGAAATAATTCAAGCCACAAATAACAAATCTTCCCCTTTGCTTGAATTCTCTTCATCAACAGGAACAACGTCTCTCTACCTTGCCCTCAGCTCTTGCAAGGGCTCTATCCATTTTCGCACGCATCAACCAAGTCTAGGAAACACCTAAACTTGTTAAGAGACTCAATCTCTTTACTCATAGCACTAATCCGTCGATTTGGTTCTATACTCAGAATAGCTTCTAGATAGCTATAACACTCAAACGCATCAACAGTCTCTGCAACTGCCAAAGCAAATCCCACTGGATTCGTATATCCAAGAAGATTTCCATCAACTACGTTTGCAAACCTTTGCGGTCGGTTGATCACTCTCATCTCTCTGCATGTTGCAATGCTATATGGTTGTTGTTGCGCAGGTGCATCAACATTATCGTCTTGATCAATATTTTGCACCTCCTCTGCTTCCTCTACTTTAGAACTATTGGGCTGAGCTAGTGGAGATTCAATTTCTAGCTCTATGTGGTCACTGACACCACGGTCTGTTTCTGCTATTGCCTTCTCCCTCTAACTGTCCAGTGAGGCAGATTCATTGAATGTTACATCCCTACTGATAATTAGCCTTGGAGTCTTTTGATCTGTGCACCACAACCTATAACATTTCACTCCAGTTGCATACCCTAGAAATATGCACTTCTTTTCCCTCGGCTCAA